AGGTGGTAATCAGGTAGTAATCAGTTTAAAATCGGGTACCTGATTTGTGCCTGATTTTTTATCTTTCGACCTGTGACTGTAACTCGCTAGAACTATTTATGTTCTTCTTAAAAGGCTTTTAGATCTTTGTGAAGCAATCATAGCATTAGCTAATAATTTAATAAAAGATTCTGAAAGAGTAATTCATAATGATGAAAATTTGTTAAAAGAAAAAATTATCTTAGATGATGATTAGCAAAAACTAGATGAATTATGTAAATTACTTTATCCTTTTGCATATGCATTTGTTTACATGGGTAGTAGCCAATACCCAACACTAGGAATGATATATCCAACAATACAATGTCTTTTTAGACATTTAGATCAAATTAAAGCTCAACTTACTAACCTATTTATTATTACTATGCATACCTTTCTTAAAGACTTCATGCAAAGCTGTTAGGAAGATTCTAACATAGTTGGGTGGCTTGCTATGTTGTTAGATCCTCGTTTCAAATCATTATCAAATGCTCCACCTAACAAATGCGATGATGTGATTAATGAATTATGAAGAAGAATCAACCTCTCCATACAAGAATCACATAAAGATTCAGTTATGGGTAATCTAATAAAAGCATCTGATATGTTTTTATTTTTTGAAGAAGAAGTCAAATCAGCCTCTTCATCTCTCGATATTAAGTTGCAAATATATTTGTCTATTCCACAAATACCCAAATATGAACTTACAGATTCTTTTTATAAAATAATAATCCTTTAACATGGTGGAAAGAGCATCGAATTACCTTGCCACTTCTTACTGAACAGGCATGAATTTTTCTTGGAATACCAGCAACCTCAGTTCCTGCAGAGACTTTTTTTTGACGCAGAAAATGTCTTAACTGATAAATGTAATCGTTTAAGTACTAATATGGTTCACGATTTACTATTTTTAAAAGAAAACTCATCAGTAATGAATGTTTATGCCAGATTATAAAAAAACAGAAACTTTTTGTATTAAATATTTAAATTTTAGAATAGAGTTCTATATATATGTATAAATTTTTTTTTACATATTAAAATAAAATATATATTATCAATAGAGAAAGGCAAAGTTTTTATAGGCGCACAGTAACGGTAATACTGTAATCGTCACTATATCATGTGCACTATGTCGTACGCATGTAATTAACAGATCTATCATATGAGCCAGTCGGAACATCGTGATAATTAAAAAGTTAATGTGATATTAATAGTGACGAAAATACTATAAAAATTTATAAAGTAACTACGTATGTAAAAACTGATAAGAGCTGTAAACAATTAAGATTAATTATATGACTGACTATAAAATTTATAGAGTAATTATATAAAAACTGATAAGCTATTTAAAGACCCATAAAGTAAACTATATAAGTTACTGTTACATATGTGACAAATAACTATAATTTTATTATGTGACGAATATTTTGACAAATAAATTGTTAGTGATTCTTATTTACTAATTTGAAAATTCATATACTGTATATTTTTTTTTGTTATTTTATATATTATAGCATGATAGAATATTTTTTTTGCTAATATACAGTATAATTAAAAAACAATCAAATTTGTAAAATTTTAAATATACAGTATCTAATATATTGTAAAAAGAGCGGTGCTACTATATATTGTTATTTACTAAAAATATATATAAAAACCTTGCATTACTGCGATTTTCAAGGTTTGTAATCAGCAAATTTTATCCTTTAAAGTTTAACATATCTGTATTTTCGCACTTTGAGCGAAAATATCTCAATAACGGCCTAGTAAATTTAAATATTTAAGACTATTTTCGAATTTTAATAACCTGTAGAAATCGAAAATACTTTGAACATTAAAAGTAAACAGAGTATTAGTAGGATTCCTTCGTTCAAAATTTATGAGAATATAGTTAACCAACTGAAAGATCTAGATTAGAATGCTGGTGAAATTAATTTTACCAATTTCATCAATTTCAACATCAATTTACCACACCAATTTTATTTCACCATCTTTAATCTAGATATAGTATTACAGAAAAATTAACATTCAAAAGGAAGTGTTGTAGCAATCTCACAATAGTTTGAAAAGCGCAGTAATAAAAGCTGATAATATTAAAAGTTTTTCCGGATCAGGAATCCCTGTGTTTATAATTGGCCAATCAGATCGTGGGTATAAATAAAATTCACGACTTTGAATTCTTCAAACTACTGTATAAACGCGACTTTGTATCCTATAATCAAAAATGGTATGTATAGCTTTTTTTTCAATTGACTACAAATACTTATAACGCCTCTCGAAAGTTTCTAGTATTGATATGTATGTTATTTTTTATAGCTACCGCTTTCCTTACTAAACATTGCTCAAGGGCATCCAATGGCTTGTAACCTTTTCATCGATACTTTTTTTTAACATTTAAAACATTAGAAACAAAATTTCACAAAAAATTCTTTATATTATTGTTGCACAGCTGGTTGAACTGAAAAATGGAGAAACTTTCAATGGACATTTAGTAAATTGCGATAATTGGATGAATCTGACTTTACGAGAGGTTATACAAACGTCACCGGTAACGATTTGGTTTTAGTTTATTCTGATGGCCTAAACTTAATATATTCATAACCGTTTGAATTATTATGTTTCATTTAGGAAGGCGATAGATTTTGGCGGTTACCTGAATGTTATATTAGAGGAAATACGGTAAATTTTCAACATTTGTCTTTTATACACATGATTTGTTGACTGTCCTTAACGTTAATATTCTTTTATTAAAAGATTAAGTATCTTCGCGTACCAGACGAAGTAAGGATATTTCTATAATACCTGAAACTTATCATTTGCTTAATATAATGTTACTTAAATTTAATATCAGATTATAGAGATGGTAAAAGATGATGCTGTACGACAACGTCAACAAGCACCCGTTAGCAATAGTCGTGGACGTAAGTATTTTTTAGTGATAATTCAGATAATTCATGTTTCTTGTTTTCCAGTTTTATTTGTAAATTATTTATTGCTCATCTTATTTTCAATTATTTTTTCTTTAATTTTAATATTAGGTGGAGGTCGTAGTGGTAAACTTTAAAGTTTTGTGCATCTAAAATTATACGACCATATTTATCTCTTACTAACATGTCACCTTTTTATAAACAGGTGGAAGAGATGGTGGCTCTAGAGGTCGTGGTGGCGGTGGTGGGAGTGGGCGAGGCAAGTCTACCAAAAAGCGTTAATGATTACAATAATGCTTAGACTTGTATCTTTAATTGGATATTTAGATAGACATCCTATTTTATATTTCTTTAATCCGGATTATAAGTAGATGTTTCTTCAATTATCTGGTTTATATTAAACACTTTGTTTGGTTTTGATCTAATAATAAATTGTGTTCGGATCCGGATAATCTATTTATCTAAGATAAAAAATATTTGTTGAATAAACCCGCTATCTGATATTTATACCTGTTCATTCTACTATCTGGATAACTTATCCGGATTATATGTATTATTACCCGGGTCTATACCGCATAGTGTTTGGATTGAAAAATTTAAAATTCTAACAGCTTAGATAAATTATTTACATGCTAATTAGGACTCTGCAAGTGCCGGCATGGTGCCGTTAAAACATAGTGCCTGGGTAGCCTAGCCGGGCACTTGCAGAACCTTAATACTAATCTAGCCTTAGTATTCATATATATGCATATATATATATATAGCTGTCATTGTAATCACCGAATTGCGGCACTATCGTTATGGCATATGCTATAATTAATTACAGTAAGAGCTATATATAATGCGTACCATCCGCATTTCACTTGAATGACTCTGGATACGTATAAATAGGCAGTTCACTAAGTAATATTTATGAAACAAATTATGCCAACCAATCAAATACAGTAGAAAAGTCGATAACACAAATACAGAAAGCGGGCAAATATTTGAGAGCTAATGTCAAAATATTAGCGTAATAGATAAACTATCTGTTGGATGAAATGTTATCTATTATGAAGTATCCGGAATAATCCAACACTACTACATCTGTTTCCAACTTGTAAGCACGTAAAATTGATGTTACCAAATTTTATTTATTCTTTTTAGTGCAGAGAGGCAAAGTTTAAATTGTTCAGATAAAAAAGAAGGCAATTTAATTTTAATAACTTAATTATTAAACTATAAACTTAGTAATTTTTTTTAAAAATATTGTATAATTTAATAATAAAATATTTAAATTATTTTTTATAATTTATTATACAGTAAATCAAAAATCTTTACTATACTGTATATGCATATACTAAAAATTTTAATATATATTATATATATACTACATTTTGCAATACCACAGAGTAAAAAAAAAATCTGAAATTCAAAAGAATTTGGAATTTGACCAAAATTTGGTTTGATTAGAATTTGAGATAATTTGGGATTTTACCAGAGTTTGGGGAATTATGTTCGCCCAGATATAATTATTCCAGTTTGGGATATAGAATTTTCCACTTGGGGATTTGAGTGGGCGTTTATAGTTTGGGGACGGCAACTATACCTGATACCACACAGTTGTATGTACCAGGTACGTACGTACGTACATACGTAAGTACAATACGTAACAGAATATCATATATATATGGCGCAGATTTAAACGATTTAAACCAATCGCACACAACTTTTAGAAATATAGCTTATATACAGTACAACTGAAATTTTAAGTTATAATTAACGATTTGAAATTCAGAATTCAGGACATACGTACGTACGTACCAGAATATCTTGAGCAAAGCTTAATCCAAGTTTTAATACACAATAACAGTATGAATCAAAGTCCAATGATATACGTGCCAACAAAAAAGACTGACGAGGTTGACTGGGCAAATCCTTTGAAACGTTATATTCAGACAACGTATCAAGAGGATCCAGAGAAATATGCTGAGGAAGCTAACACTATTCATCGTCTAAGACAAGATATGAGAGGTGCAGGAAAAGATTTAACTGGAAGGGATTTAATGTATCGCTATTATGGACAATTAGAACTACTTGAATTAAGGTTTCCTGTCGATGAAAATCACATTAGAGTCTCCTTCACATGGTATTTTTATTTTCAGGAATTTTATGCGTTTAACTTATATGCCTTTATTTCTTGAACGATTCGTAATTCGGTTATTGAATTTACGTCGCATTAGGTACGATGCTTTTACTCATAAAGCAACTTCTCAATATTCACTTGCGTATGAAAAAGCATGTACGATATTCAACATAGCTTCCATCTTATCTGCTATCGCTGCTTATCAAAATCGATCAGAGCCCGATGGTGTTAAACGGTCGTTCAATTTTTTTCAAGCATCCGCTGGGATGTTTAATTATATCAATGATAACTTTTTACATGCACCTTCAACTGACTTGAGTCGAGAAGCTGTAAAATTACTCTCTCAATTAATGCTAACGCAAGCTCAAGAGACTTTTCTTGAGCAAAGTTTAAGTGGAAAAAAGAAACCCGCTCTTATTGCTAAATTAGCTTCTCAAACAGGATGGTCTTACGGTAATATTGTCGAAAATATGAACGATCTGGTCACAAAAAGTATATTTGATAAAAGTTGGTTAACTGCTTGTCAAATTAAGCATAAATATCACATGTCAATCGCACAATATCAAAAAGCTTTGGCTTGTGAAGAGGAAGGCAAATATGGTGAATGTGTTGGTCGTCTTAATATCGCAGAAACTTTAGCTAAAGATGCTAACAAATCATCCAATAGTTTCGTTTCAGCCTTTTCACCAACAAATTCACCAACACTTCCTCCTGATGCTGCAAACTCGTTACAAGAACTCACAAAAGCGAATTTAGCTCTTATCACTGAGAAAAAAAATTCCGCAACAAAAGACAATGATATTGTTTATCATGATACAGTTCCTCAAGAAGGTGTCATTCAACCTATTGAAAAATTAAATGCAGTAAAACCTATACCAATACAGGAACTTTATAATAATCCAAACGATATCCAAAAAGTTATTGGAGCTGATATTTTTCAACGCCTTATTCCTCTATCAGTTCACGAATCTGCATCTTTATATTCTGAAGAAAAAGCTAAAATAGTGCGCAACGAAGCTGAAAGATGTGATTTGGCGAACGGTGAATTAGAAGCAGTCTTAGATTATATGAAATTACCAGGTTTATTAACAAAATTCAAAAATAATAATGATGTTAGATCATTTAATGAATTTATAACACCAACACCTGAAGTAAAGCAATGGGCAAATTTAATTAAAGAGGAAGAGGAACGAAAAGGAGCTTTTAAAGATTTATTAATGACTTTGCAGGGATTGAGAGCACAATCAAAAGATCTAATGGATAACATTGCTCTAGTTTTAGAGTGTGAACAGCGAGATTTTGATGCAATGCGGGTAAGAAACACATACGTATTATATATTTAATATTTTTATTTATGTATACATTAATATAAATAAAAATCATTATTTATCTCGGATAATAGTCAAAGTATGGTGATTTATGGACTCAGCCACCATCAGTATCACTTACTACAGTTTTTCGTCAAGACTTACTTAGTCACCGTGATAGATTTGAGCAAGCCGGAAATTCAGATAGACACTTGTTTCAAAGATATGAACAGTCGATGTCTGATATAATAGTTTTGAGTCATGGTGAAAATAGTGATGAATTAGAAAGAATGTTTGCTGAAGCATTGGCCACCTTTAGTACAACATCAAGTAACGACGAAAATTTACTGGACGTGGACGTTGCACGATCCATGGAAGACATTCCAGCTAAGGTTAATCAAATTGAAGAATGTTTAAGCAATCTGCAAAAAGTTAAAAAGGAAAGAATGGATACATTGAATGATTTGAAAGAAAAGGTATTATTTTCTATAATGTTAACATCTTATAATTTTTTATACAATTAATTTACTTCCGTAATTGATATCAATATTTTTTTAAAACAGACGCACCAGGATGATATATCACACCTTCTAATTTTAAATAAAAAGACGCAAAATATCGAGCCACAGTTGTTTGCGACAGAGCTCGAAAAATTTTCACCATACCGAAATCGAATAACATCTATCATTCATCATCAACAAGCATTGTTAGAGGAATTAACAGTTTTCTACAAAAATTTAGTAGGAGGAGAAGAAGCGCGAATACTGCAGGATCGATGGGATCAGGCAGAGCGAAGGAAAAAAGAAGTTTGTGAACGGTTAAAAAAAGCAAAGGACAATTATTTGGAAGTCAAGGATGGATTGAGGTATTGTAAAACAGCATTATTTTTATTTTTTATATATTTATCAAATTTTTATATTTATGCTTAACGAAATTCATTTAACACTATAGAAAAGGGATTCAATTTTACGTTGATCTGAATGATTTGATTGAGAATCTTTCAAAAACTGTGCATCAATTTGCAAGAAGTCGCCAGCAAGAACGAGAAGATTTGATTCAATCGATTCAAAATCAAGAAGAGCTACGAATAAAAAGCCAAATGAACAAATTGAACGTGGCAAATGTAACGATGCCTAATACTAGGAGTATATCCTACGATACATCAGCACATTTATCTGAAGAACTAAACAAATTGTCACTCAACGCTGGAGTTCCTGGTACAAATATTTATACAGCCAATAATACCAGCCAAGAAGCGAGCACCGTGAATGTTCCCATGCCCTCCGTACAATCATTTTCAGTTCTCCAAGAATCATACCCTGTACCTTCAGCACCATCACATGTTAGTCCTTCTGCACCATCACATGTTAGTCCTTCTGCACCATCACATATTAGTCCTTCTGCACCATCACATATTAGTCCTTCTGCACCATCGTATATTAGTCCTTCTGCACCATCACATATTAGTCCTTCTGCACCATCACATATTAGTCCTTCTGTACCATCACATATTAGTCCTTCGGCACCATCGTGTGTTAGTCCTTCAGCACCGTCATGTGTTAGTCCTTCAGCAACATCATACGTTAGTCCTTCAGCACCACCACCACCAATAACATTACCCAGTTCACCAACATCTCACAATCCCTATTATTCACAAACATCTCAACAAATTGTTACGCAATCATCTCTCGGATATTCAATGCAACCAATGTCACCAAAGGCACAAGGTCCACCCGTTCCTCCTTTACCTACAGAATATCAACAAAATAATGTTTATATTCCTTTTCAATCAGACATTCAACGTTCATATCAACCGATTATTCATTCTGTAAATGCACAACCTCAACAGCAACCTCAACAACCACCTCAACAACCACCACAAAATGTCGCATCACAGCCTTTGTCTCGACCATATAATGTTCAATATCAACATCCGCAGCAAATAAATCTGCAGCAGCAGCAGCAACAACCACCACAGCCACAATCACAACCACAAACTTCACAGATGAGTAGTCAATCAGTGACACCACAACAACAATCTCTTTCAAGACCATCTAGTGTATATGGAACTTCGTTACCATCTCAACCTAACTACTCACAAACAAATCATCGTTATTCTCAACAACAGCCACCCCAACAGTTGCCTCAATTGCCGGCGCAACACCGTCAATCGACTTATGATAGTTTTGCATCACCTTTACAAAGTGGTTACATTCCACCACCTTCAGGCTTACATCAATCTCAAGTTCCTCCTGCACAACAGCAATATTCTTCGCCTGTACCTGTGGCTCAACCACAACAATACAATGTGCAGACTATGCAGAGACCACAATTTAGCCAACCACCTCAAATGTTGCCAACACAACAACCACAAAATTTTTATCAAACAAATCCAATCCCATCACAAGCTCAGCAACCTGCAGTAGGATATTATCATAATTCTGCACAACCTGTTCCTATCCAACAAGGAAATTATCCTCCAACGACCGGTCCACAACAACCTAGTCATGGCTACCAGCAAGCACCTTATCATACCCAATATCGATCTCCAACAGCACCACCTTCAGGAAATGATGGCCCTTCATTGTTAGATTAATTGGCATTTTTTCTAGGGTTTTATAATCTGGTGCATCCCTTAGTACATGATGTGAATTACGTACGTACGTACAATATAATAAACTTTATTAAGGGTAGGGGATACGATACGTAGATCATTTTTCATATGATCTTGATAAATTTTTTTATTTTTAATATTTTTTTTAAAAATATATTAAGGCAACTGTTTTAAAGTTTCTAAGTTGTAGAATAGGTCTTTCTTACCCGCATAATGTGTATCATAACTCTATTGAAAATCTTTTGTTTTTT